AAAGCGGCTGCACACGCTTGATTTGACCAGTACTCGTGCGTGCGGCGGTGAAAAGATAGTGAAGAAGTGAATTGTGAAAAATAGTAAAAATATAAAGTGTTTAAAAAAAGGATATGCACCATTAAAGGAAAAAGGATATGCTTTACCCAATAGTTGGTGCATAATCCACTGAAAAAGGATAATTGTATCCTGTAAGGATAATGCTTAAGAGTTGGTGTTTGTATTGTGCTTGATCTCGTATTGGTATGTGTATGCGACTTTAATCGCAAAGCACTTCCGGTGCACTGAATTTTACTGAACCTGTACTTTGAAAGTGAAATTTGCAACAAGAGTAATTTTTGCAAAAAAAAACAGCAAAAAAAAATGGGTTGGTATTTTGTATTGACTCTGCTGCTATTGCAGCAATGCGGATATCTCATTGTGGCAGAACCTGGCAATATTGCGGAGGCGGTGGCACCAAAGTGAGTGTTTTTTAAGAATATTTCAAAAGTATCCTTTAAAATTGTTGAAAAAGACTAAAAAAAAAACAATAATTAAAAAATTCAGGGGAATATTCATGTGATATGTTCATATATTTTCAATATTTAAAGTTTTGTTCTTTAATTGAAATAAAATTTTGTAGCGAAAAATTTATCTCTTGGAGAATAAAGAACAAAGTTCTTCAAGAATGTGATTTATTTAAAAAACTTCAAAATTTTTATCAAAATCTCCATAATATAAACCTTTCGAATTTATGTAGTTTATAAAAATGTAAATAATTAAAGTAATGATGAACCATTTTGAATAAAACGATTAGCGAAAAAAAATAGGGAAACAAGTGAGCAAAGTAGCAAGTTCAGCTTAAAAAATTACAAAAAATCCATTGAACGATATTTTTATTTATTATAATAAAATTAAAAATGTTATAATAAAAAAAAACATTTTTTAAAGAGAGACACCCCAAATAAATTTTTAAGAATATAATTTATTTGAAAAAAATAATAATTTTTCTAATACTACCCTCGAAAATTATAAAAAAGACTAAAAATAAAAAGGTATTTTTATTATAACAAACAATAATACAGCGAAATTTTCTTTAAGACACATTAAAAAAATTTGTGGAAAAATTATACAAAATTGTTTGTGCATGGAAAAATATAAAAAATATTGAAAACTTTTTTTAGGAATGTAAAAAAATTTTCATATCTAATTTAAACATTTTCACAAGTTTCTCTGTGAGAAAGTGCTCATAAAAAACAATAAACATATTTGTAAAATTATGAAAATAAATTTTAGAACAATTTTAAAATATTGAAAAATATTATTTGAAAAAATATTTGCATCTGTGAAGAAAATATTTAATTTTTTTTTTATAAAAAAGTTCTCGGTTGGAAGATTTAAAATTGTAAACTTTCAAAAACAAAACCAAAATTTAAAATTAGTTATACAAATTTATGGCAAGTGCATAGAGCGAAAACCACCACATAACATAGAACAAAAGTAAGAAGATATCTCTATGATTTTTCCTCAAGAGAAAATCCTTCTTATTTTTAGTGGGATTATATTTTTAATAAAATCAAGAAGGAATTCTCTCGATTTTTATTAGGTGAGCTAAAATCTGAAAATAGAAAAGGTAACAAATATAAAATAAAAATAAAAAACGATACTGCGTTGACCTTTCACCGAACCCGAGACTTACTTTACGGCAGTTTACAGCTCTACCTACTCGGCTAGTGTGGTCGCCTTGCTGACAGTATTATATTTAATAATATGAATTTAAATTTTCAATAAATTCAAGCAGACATCACATACAACTAAGAAGTAATTTTCAACGAAATACAAACAGCATCTGTTAGGAAAATATGCAGAAAATACATACTTCAATTCATTGTCTATTTTTTTATAAATAAAATCAGGTCCTTTGGCCTAAAAACTTTTCATAGAGACAATCCTCTTGTTTTTATGCGCATATTTTTCTCTGTGTGGATATAATCATTTTTTATGGAAAAATATTTTATGCATATAAGAAATTTCTAAAAAGCTCTTATTCAATTTATTAACTAACACCCAAATTCATAAAAAATAAATGACACTTTAACTGCTTTATTAATTAAAATTTTTTATGAAAATGTCACTTTATAAAGCCTTTTAAACCTATTTTATTTTTTATGAATTAGGCCATAGATTTTCATTTACACTTTGCCGAAATTTTGTAGCTTATTAAAACATTTAAACACATTATTTGCATTAATTTTCTCATTAAAATTTTGGATTCACTCAGTTTTTCGCAAAAATCGAGCTTTAATTCAGAAAATAATAAGAACGAACTCTTAAAGATTTTTATGCGTTTTTGTGAAGAATATAGCGCTAAATTTGTCAAAAAATAAAAGGAATTTAAAATATGTCCAATGTGAACTTTTCATTACCACTAATTTTTAATAAAAAAATATTCTATATAAGGCATTTCAAAATAAAATTGTTTACCATGTCAATTTTCTAGCAAGGCATTTACTCAGATTTTTCAGTTTACTAAACCTTTCAAACACATACATTGTTTTTATTAGTTTTATCCTCACAATTTTTGGTCCTTAATTTTGCGAAAAAATCAAGCTGAAAATGTCTTACAAAATTGTGAAAAATAATAAGAACTGATTTTTATTTTTTTTGCGTTTTTATGAAGAATATACCAGCTAAGTTAAAAAAATAAGAGAAATGTAAAATATTTTTAATGCTAGGTTTCCACTTCTATATTTTGTTTAATTCATATTTAATTTAACTGTTTCTTTGAGAAAGAAATAATATTTTATTTTTGAAAAATGGGGTAAAATTAAAAAAAATTGTAGAAAATTTATTTTTAAAATTTTTCATATTTTTTTAATAATTATTGATTAAAACTCATGCTTTAGATGTTTGAAAAATTCTAATTAGAATCAAAATTTGCTAAAACAAAAAAAAAAAATTACAAGCTGTCCAATCCTTTTTGAATGCTATGATTCTAGTGCTAGTCTTTAAAACAAAGGTAACCAACGTTATTTTACCACCTCAACCAAACTCAACCGAATGTTAGTATTTATAATAGAGGTCAATGGTTTTATGGATCTTGCTCCATCTAACCACAATTTTTCTGTAGTGGAGGGTTAAAGTTTCCCCCTTTCTGAGGTAAAATTTGATTTACTGTCATGAAACATTATATATTGGCACTTGCCCCTTACTCCGCAGAATATTTCTGCTTTCCTTTACCACAGTAAAATAATTTTTGTTTTTACATTTTCACCATTAAACGGCCATTTTAAAAAACTGATTCAAAAAGTACCATTCTGGCAAGAGTTAGTGGGTTAAATTGCTCTCTGTTTTTTTTTTTTTTTTTTGCTAAATCTGATCCTAGGCCGCTTTAAGCAAGAATTATATTTGATGTTTTTTGTGCATAAAAATTAAAAGTGTTTATTTATGAAATTTGAATTTTTAACTAAAAAGTGGTGTGAAGCCAAATCCTATAAAAATTTTACAAATTCTTCTGGGTGCTAAAATTTGGACTCTGAATTTTTTATATATTTTATAAATTGCCTCTATTAAGCAATTTTAACATTTTTAGCCCAATCAACGTCGAAACGGGGGAATTAGCTGATAATAACCGTGAAGAACGCGACTTATTTGGACTTTTTAAGAAACAACCAGCAGCAGCGCAACCTGTGCTAGGGTAAGTAACAAAAATAAAACGATAAAAAAGAAATAAAAAAAGCAATTCAATAAATGAGAATCAGCGATTAAGTAGAAAAAGTGAATGCGCGTTCTCTTTTCTAAATCATGCGAATATACACATGTACTCATTAACGCTATCAATTTGAAACGGAAACTAAAAAAAGTGAATTTTGATAAGCATAATTTTATTTTATTTTTATTTGCAACCTTCAAATTACAGGGTAAACATAGGCGGCGGTCTCGGTGCCGGTGTTGGATATGGCGCAGCTAATAGCGCTTATGGCGGTGGTGGGTAAGTGCTAACTCGTGCAAGGGATTTTTAATCGGAATATTGAATTAAATGAATACATAATTTGGCTTTTGTTTGTTTTGCGACTTGGCGATAATAATTAGACATTATGGCATCAAGACAAGTCATGCTGGATATGGACATGGACATAACCATGGTGGTGGTGTTGGCGTGGGCGTGGGTTACGGTAAAGGCGGTTATGGTAGCTATCGTTCTGGTGGTTATGGCGGCGGCAGGTATGCGTGTGTGTTGATGTCTCTTCAAATTATAATATTTGAAATTTTTGTTTGAAATAAATTTACAGTGCTTATGTGGTTCATGTATCGAATAATTTTTTTTTCAGCTCTTACAGCTTTTCGCCGTCGCATAATGTATTTGGCGTTAAAACTGGGTAAGTTCAGTAAGAACATTTTCTTTTTCGTATTTTATGTTGTAAATTTGGAATTCTACTGAGCACCGAATGAAGTAATTAAAAAAAAAATATATATATATATTTTATTAATTTTTTCACAACAGCTCAAATGTCCAAATCAGCAATGACTTCCTTATTCACGAACGCCCCCAAATACCGGCCTACGCCAACTGTCCAGCATACCGATTACCCTCGAATATGTTGGTGAAATGTCGCGACAATCAATGTGAGGTTAGCTGTCCGGCGCAATACAGCTTTCCCGATGGCAAAACATTGCTCAAGTTTGCCTGCATAAGTGGCTCGTGGATAGTACGCGATGCAGATATAACAACTGTGCCGCCATGCCAGGGTAAGTGTGCTGAAAAAAGCATGGAAATTGAGTCAATAAATGCCTCATTTGCTCTCAGCTACCTGCATACCACCCTGTGAGAATAACGGCATTTGTGTGGAGGCAGGCATATGCAAATGCGCAGAGAACTTCTATGGGCCTTGGTGTCAGAATAAGAAGACCTTCTGTAGCGGTAAGCCCCCAATACCGAGAAATTCGCGCGTCAGTTGTAGTAATAAGTGAGTGATCCTGAATTTCCTTGCTTTGGGAAAAAACGACTATTATATTTCAAATTTCCTGCAGCATTTGCAATGCCGAGTGCATGAGCGGCTTTCAATATCCCGATGGCAGTACCATAACGAATCTGGAGTGCGTAGATGGCG